AATTTAACCCTTGGAGTACACAGTTACGATGGAACACATTACGGGTTTGGGGTGAACATGTTAAAGGCACAGCTATTTATCAATTTTCTCGATAAAACCCTTTTACTGTAGTCAGAATCTTGGCTTTGCGTCTGCGCATGAGAAGGGAACGCTGTTGCGTCAAATTGCATCATGGGATTGTTTAGGGACGAATTTTGACGCAGTTTCCCGTGGGACTTCGTGTAGGTAACAAAAGAAGCGATAGCTTTCAGAATCAGTCCCATGTGAAAATTCATTTCGCCTCATGTAAGGTAATCCATGGCAGTTTGGATTCCACGCCGTGGATCGGATTCGTTGTCAGTGAAACTTGGATTCCGGATTCTAATCGTTAGTGGGATTCCAGATTCCTTGAGCTGTTTTCCGGATTCCAAAGCCCAGGATTCTGGATTTCACAGATTTCCCGACTTCGGGAATTCCGGAATCCACATTCCCTTAGCTAAGGCAATTTATTGTTTTTAGTCAACAGTTCATATTTTTAGGCTGGATAAATTTATACATCACATATATACCCAAAAATTAATTTCCACTTAGATGAAAAAAAAAAATTTAAATGGATGTTTCGAAATAGAGAAAAAGAAAAAAAAATGCTGTGAAGGAACCACAACAGCAAAAGAAGAAAGCAAGGTTTAAATGACATGTCCCACATGATGACAACATCACCGAAAAAAAAAATGGGTTTAAACTTAAAGAAATCTACTTCGGAGTATGAATTTTCTTGTTTTATGACCCTTGTGAAGATAAAGCTAATAACCAAAAAAGAAAGAAAGAAATAAGCCTTTGTATTGTTCGCCATTCCTATTCCCCGCCCACCAGAAATGAAAAAAAAAAATAAAAAAATAAGAAACGCGCGACCAACAACGATAAACGCCCACACAAGGCCATTGTTTGAGAAACTAACAGCCACTGGTAGATGATACGAATGTTGAACGTTCTCGAACAATCAGAAAATTGCCCTATTATAAGAGAAAGAACTTACCACACTAAGGCTTTCTGTGTCTTGTATCTCATCGTACAGACGAGGGTTCGCCTTACGATCCATGAAGTCACCGAAAAATAAGCTGAGAATAATAGAACTGGTTTTAAAACACAGAGGTTACCTTAAAGCTACGGTAAAACCGGCGACAAAAACGTGCAACGTTTTTGCAACATTGCTGAAGAAAGTGTTGAAAATCGATTCTGCGTGTTTTAACACCCACGTTCAAACCTGTTTAGCCACAAATAAAGGTTACAGCAAGTTGCGTGAATACTGACTTCTGATTGGATAAAAATACGCAGGAGTCACGCCATACACTGGATTTACGTCACTTTGTGCAAAAAAAGTTTGCCTTGGGCCGGTAAAACGCGCAACATGTACACTAACAGATTTTGTTGCAATAAGTAGAACTACTCTCTACTTTCAGCAACAACGTTTCGCAACTTGCAACATGATTTGTTGCAAGACAGATTTGAATGTGGCTTTTAAAACGCGCAACATCGCTTTTTAACTTTTTTTTACAGCAATGTTGCAAAACAAGTTGTATGTTTTCGTGGCCCAATTTGCCGTACCTTAGCACACAGGGAGGGCTTTAGGTTTTCAAGGAAATAGACCATTTTCAGAGTTCCAAAAATTCTCACTTTCAAAACGAGGCTAACTGCAAAACCTTTCTCGTGAAAATGAGTTTATTTGCATGAGAATTAAAAATCATTTTCATATTAATGGCTTCGCACTTAGCCTCGCATAAGAACAGAAGCTTCAGGCAACTCGGAAAAGGCCTACTTTGCTGCCGGATTGGCTTTTGAAAGTCATATGGTGAAATTATAGGTTAACGACACAAATGAGACTCGTTTTGAGAGAAAACCGGCGCTACAGCTCTTTCGAATTTCTTTTAATATGTCTGCGGGAACAAAAGTTACTTGAACATTCGAGAAACAGGCCCCTAGAAGGAAATATCAAGTGTAAAAACACCCCCGGAAGAGTCAGTGGAAAGTTTACCTCCTTAAACAATCATCAGTAACCACGCCTCCTCTGCCAGCGAGATGTTCAAACACATTATTCATCTTTTCCTTGAACTCAGATGCCATGACATTCTATAGTTGATAAAAG